ATAATTTAAATATCATCTTATTCATAATATTTTATTATTTGTTTATTAGAATTTCATTAAATTTCAATGAATGTGATGTAATAATAAATTGATAATTGAAAATACATAACTATTGTTATTTAACATTAAATACTATTAATCACTAAATATTACTTTTTATTATGTTAATTGTATATCATTATTACTTTCTAAAATGATGTTAAAATAAATTATATACTCATAATATCATCTGTCATTAATAATTTTCAACAATCACTAAATTCTTATTGTTCAATCTTTTATTCTTATATTTTGATTATTTTATTTCTTGTTCATTATTAAACATCATTTTTGAAAGAAATGAATATTTAAACATCAGTAATTTATTAAACAATATTAACTCAATGAAAGTTATTTCGTTTAACCAACCACAATATCTTCATTATACTGATGAAAAAGATAGAGCAGAGAGAATTGTTAATATTCTCTCTAACAAAGAAGTATTAACTTTGTATGATTCAAATAATAGTTTATTAACATCTAAATCAATATTTAATTACATCCAAAGAGAACGAGATGTTTATTTTGTTGCAGAAGATGATAAGGATAATTGTTTTGGTTGTTATATATCAAAAGCACCATCATATATGGGAATTGGAATAACAGATCAACACCATTACATCTTTTCTTGTTCATTAGAAAGTGATGAAATAAATACATTTGATTATCGGATACTCACTACATCTGTTTACATCCCATTAGATTCAATATCATTTTTAATTGTCATTCTGCTTTTTCTGTTGATGACCAATTAAATTGTTCATTCTCTAAAGATATTAATGTCATTTATATGAAGGAATCTAATTCGTATTGTGATGTTTCTAAGTATTTTCCATGTGTAGAAAATCAAAATTCAATTACATTGAAAAGAATACGTTTCTTTACATCAAATACTATTATTAGTGATAATTTGTAGAATATAATTGATTATTAATAACCAATGAGTTAAATCTAGTTTTATTGTTATTAAATAAACATATAATTGAGATAATAAGATAATTTTAGTTGTTAATAAGGAGATAAACAAATAAGTTTTACATAATTATGAATACCTTGTTAATTATTGATGATTTATAATAATAATCAATGAAATTACAAAATTAAATTATCTATGAATGTAAATATATTATTGAATATACATTACTAGAATATTGTATTATTGAAAAATATAATTAATTATATTCTAATCAATGATTGTTAATGAAATAATATGATTTCTTCTCTTAAAAAATATGAAAACAATATCATTTCTATTTCTTCAAAACTATTTGTGTTATTATAATATAAGTATGGTTTATTCTCATTGTTATGTTATTTATTTTCATTTTATTTGATTTATCTTTTATCTTTTAGTTGATTTAAAATCATATTTATTCTTTTCTTTGTTATTTTCTTATTCTTCTTATTTTCAAAATACTCATTTAATATTCTCTTCGTTTATTTATAT